TTCCAAGGATCCATGGGTTAAAAGCTCCATGGATCATCCATGGACTTCCATACAAGCCTAGCCCATTAACAAATGGGTGTTAGCCCACACCATATAAAACCAATAGCCCACAATCTAATTAGTCTTCCTTTTAATCTCTAAATTAATTCATAATTAATTTAAGACTACGACTAATTAAATAACATGACTTCATATTAATATATTATAACTTATAATATATTAATAATCATATGTGTATAACTCTCATAAAATTATCCATAAATAGTTTGAATGAAATGCAACCCAAATGGACCATGCCAGGTCGGGTCAACTATATACCAAATAAGTTATGGACTTAGACACCTTATCTAATAGTAACCACATCCTGTATCAAGAACCCAATAAATAGCATGAGATGAATCATTAGATTTAATAGTGTATATACCTGCATAAGATGGCTTGATCTTTCCATCCTTGATGGCTTGCAGGTATTCCGGGCAACTTCTCTTCCAATGCCCTATTTTATGGCAATGCTGACACTCTGCCTCCTTTGGGTTAGAGTTGGGTTTAGCAGGATCAACCTTGGTCCTACTAGAAGAGGAACCATCTTGGGACTTTCCTTTGTGGATGGAGTCTTCCTCTTCTTGCCCCTTCTTTGCCCAATTGCCAAAACAGTAGTAGCGGGTGGATTAGGAGTTGGTGCAACAGACTTGTCCTTTAGGTTGCTCTCAGCAGTCCTTAGGAGCCCATAGAGTTTGCTTAGGGTGACCTCTTCCTTGTTCATGTGGTAGGTCATCCTAAATTGGTTGTAGAATGAAGGCAAGGAGTGAAGAACAATGTCGATAGCCAAATCTTCCCCAAAGTTGACATTCAACTTGCGAAGATGATCAACATACCTTTGCATCTTTTGCAAGTGCATGGTTAGACTCTCCACTTCCCATTTTAGCAGTGATCATATTCGTAATGATCTCATAGTGCTCTTGCCTCGCGCTTTTTTGATATCTCTCCATCAAGTCTATATGTATCTCGTAGGGATACATGTCCTCATAGGACTTTTGGAATTCGGAGTTCATTGTGGCTATCATTTTGCAATGAACTTTCGTTGCATCACGCTCATGGGTCTCAAAGACAGCCATCTCTTCGGGAGTAGCAGTTTTAGGATTGATCTTCTCGAGCTTCTCATCGAGAACATACTCTTTGTACTCGTAACGCGCGATAGTGCGAATGTATCTTATCCATTTGCTAAAGTTCGATCCATCGAAAGTCATTTTTTGACAAAGGCTCATTAGCGTGAATGAGCTAGCAGCAGCGTTGTTTGCGTTAAACATCTACAAAATAGAAAGGTCAAAGTTTAATTAGAATTGAATCCTTAATTAAACACCCAAAATGAAAAATTAGGGCTAGGATCCAACAACATTATTTACATATTAGAAAAGGGATGCCGTAATCCAACACGCAAATAATTTTGGAGGTAAGTCAACGACGATTCACTATTCTTCACCATGAAAAACATAAGCTTAAGTTTTAAATGTATTGAGAATTCCTAGATTTTCTTGGAGATTCATTGAACTTTTCAATGGCATGTTTAAATCTCGATATGCCCCTCTCATTTCTGACTGGGATGCCGAGGATCACAAAGTGGGTGTGAATAACCATAGTAAGTCAACGACGATTCACTATTCTTCACCATGAAAAACATAAGCTTAAGTTTTAAATGTATTGAGAATTCCTAGATTTTCTTGGAGATTCATTGAACTTTTCAATGACATGTTTAAATCTCGATATGCCCCTCTCATTTCTGACTGGGATGCCGAGGATCACAAAGTGGGTGTGAATAACCATGCAAATCTACATGGTGCCCTCATTGTTACAATCACCTATTCAATGTGTCGGTAAACCACACACGCTCCATCGAACTATGACAAACAATGAATCACCCTTTACCACCTTTGGTTAGAACCAATTAGTGTGCCGGTAAACTACACAAGCTCCACTAACTTCTTAGCAAGGGTGCAAAGTGTAATTTTATGGGATTGCATCAATTTCATTTTTGCCTAAAGTAACTAGGATTAGGAATTTAAAAAAAATGTTTAGTTACTTTATTTATATTAATTATACTTATTAATGAGGAGAGGATTGTCCTATCCTACCCGTTTAGCTATCGACCCTCCACCAGTCAAGCAAGAGGTGGGTGTGAGTGTACACCCATTAAACGTTATTTTATAAGCAGCAACCTTATACCCACCTTATAGACCGGCTTCGTGAATGAGGCCTACTAACGGTAAGACTAGCATTTTAATTTTATATATATATATATATATATATATATATATATATATATATATATATATATATATATATATATATTAAGCTTGTAATATAATAATAGTATAGAGTGTATTTTAAACATTTCAAAATACTAGGGTTTTAATCTTCAATTTAAAATTTTCGAAATTTAATGCCATTCAAATAAAAATTTAAATATTAAAACTCTTGATTTAATAATTATCTCAAATTAAACTATTAATTCAAATTATTAAATCATAATGGATTATAAATCTTAGAGGATAGTTACCAATTAAACAATTAACTTATCTTAATCCCTTTTATCCCTCTAAATCTCGAAAATATTGGGAGGGGATAATTCAAAATCTTTAATTACCATATTTAACAATTAAGAGCTAATTACAAGATATGAGATTATCCAAATCCCTCAAATTTAGGATCTTATCTTGGGGAAGGAGGCAAATCTTGAAATCTAAGGGTTTGCAAACCCTAGATTTCGAAATCTTGGATTAAAAGGAAAGGATTCAAAAACCCTTCAAGATTTTCGCAAATTTGGGTTAGGAAACCCTTATCTTGAAATCTATAGCCTCCTAGGGTTTATAGGCAATAAACCCTAATTTGTCAAGTTCATACAATTGAATAATACTAATTGAAAACAAGTTAACCAAAGTCACTGATACCACTGATGGGTTTTATACAAACAATCATATGTGTGCATGCAACCCTAGATTTGGATCTATGTTTTCACTATTAGATATACAACTTTATGAACATATGAATAAAACCCTAAAGTATGTTGCTATTTTCAAAATTCATATATAAGGTTAGATCACATACCTCTTGTTGTTATATTGTAATAACAACTTAAATCTTCAAACCCTAATTCTTGAAAGCAAGCACCACAAGTGTAGTGCCTCTAATGGCTTACAAACACCACAAGCAATTGGAGAGGCTATAGAGAGAAAGGGAGAGGCAGAAATCGGCCTAGGGATCTCTTAGAAGCAAGTGGGATGATTTCTTAAGGCCTAGGGGTCTTTATATAGGGTTGGGATTAAGGTTTCAGTCCTTATCCTTATCCAGTTACTTGTCCACCAAGCAACCATAAGATAAGCCTTGATAACCCTTATCTCTTGGACCATATGGACGATTTCAAGAATATCCAATCCCTTGAATTCGTCCACCCTTCTCCAATGATAATCATTGCCTTATTTTGGAACTTATCACATAATTACAATTCAGCCTCTCTAGTTTAATTAATTACACTTGATCATAAAATTAATTCTTAATTAATTATTGACCAATATTAATTAAACAAATATGATTTCTCCTTTAATATATTATTCTTATAACATATTAATAAATCAGAATAACCTCTTTCTCCATTTATTTCTTCATTCAAGTTGCTTTAGTGAAGGCAACCCAAAAGGACCATACATAACCAGGTCAAGTATTTACCAAATATGGTAACGGGCTTAGATACTAATCCAACATGGATCTATGAGTTGGAGCCCCTGCATGGCTCGAACAACCACTGTATGGATTAAGAACTGAAGCGACTCGGCGAGTCACATGGGTGGACTCGGCGAGTTGGATGAAGATGGGCATGGACTCGACGAGTTGGAAGAACAACTCGGCGAGTCTGTTGAAGATTGGCATTGGAATTATAAGTAAATTCGAAGAAGAGACGTGGTTTGTATCAAGTGAAGTAAATATATTTCTTTATAATTGAAAATATTTTATAGGCAATATTTAATTAAGAACACATTGTGTATAAGTCATTATATGTCGTATTTATTGAGTTTTATTTCCGCATCATATCATGTTAATTTTCGTGTAGAAATTGAAACGCGGACACGACACAATATATACGACATTGGCTTTTTTGTACACGACGACACCAACATTTTTCGTCTATTATATTTTTGTAGTGTTGTCTCAACTTTAACTACTCAAAGACTCATATCTAATCATATCGTGATATTTTTTTTTTATCTTATTATATATTAGTATTAGTGTAAAAAAATATGTGCTATTCCAGTCGAAATTTTTTTGTCCTGCCCCTGACAACAGTGTCATTTTAATGTTTTTAAAAGGTCTTATTCTCATTTTTACGATTAACCCCAAAAATGTAGAATTAGTATTGAACAACCGGTTAGAATCCCACATATTTAAAGGGTGTTTGGCTTTGCTTTTAAAACAACTTTTGGACTTTTAACTTTTCTAAAAAGTTAAAAAAGTTCAAAAGATGTTTGGCAAAATAGAAAAGTCCTTTTAAACTAACTTTTAGTCATGCCTAAAAAGAAGCCTTTTAAAAAGTCATGAAATCCCATCTTTTTGTGATTTTTGACTTTTATCTCTTAAAAGTCTTAAAAATCTTAAAAGTCTATCCAAGCACATTTTAAATACCTTCTTCTAGAAAAAGTTCTTTTATAAAAAGTTCTTTTTACAAAAGGACTTTTCACTCAAAAAAGCAATCCCAAACACACCCTTAAATGTATTCGTATATTTAAAAATAAAAAAAAAATAAAAAAAAATAAAAAAAAGTTAAAACTATTCATATGAGGTATATAACATGGGAATTATATAATTTGTTTTAAATCAAAACTTATTCATTAAATAAGAAAAACATAATGCAAATTTTGTTTTGTTGTTTACTATTATCAAAACCCTAGAATACCCTTGCAATATCCCCGAATTAAAAAAAACTTGATCAGTATCTAAATTCTAAAACAAAAGCACCTTCCAAATAATCCAGCGACACACATCATATTATGGACGTGAATCCAAAGCACGAAAAAATAATCAAAAGAAAGAACAGATTTTTAAACGGAACACCTCCGCGCCGGACTTCGAAAAACGACCTTCACCACCTACACGGCGGCTATATTTTCCACACACATTCTATCTATCCAGAAACCAAACGTCGATCTCAATTTTCTACCTACTATATTCATTGTTTTCGATAATCTTGAGGTTGAAAGGTCGAAGATTTCGGGGCCTTGAATTCAAAGATCGGAGGTTTGAGTCTAATAAAAGAAAATGGCCTCATCGGGGCCGGAGCCCACGATGAATAAAAGCTCCAGTAAGTCAAAGGTGATAAAATCGATCAGGAGTTGTTCTTTGTCGGGAATGAAGGTTTCTAAAGATAAATTAAGGCAGAAGATCACGATGCCTGAGTATTTACGTCTTGCGATCAGTGACGCCATTAAGGCTAAAAATATCAATGCCGGAAAACACCATTTCGATGCTAACAAGCTCGCTGACTTTTCCGATGATGGTGGTGATAATCCTCCCCCCGTCGCCCCTGAATCGCCTTTGGTTGTTTTTGTTAATTCCAAGAGCGGTGGCCGCCATGGCTCTGAGCTTTTATCCAAGTTGCCGGATCTCATGGGCGAAGAGCAGGTTTTATTTATTCTTCATTATCATCGTTGCATTTTTATATGCGTGTTTTATGTTAATTTCTATGTTGGTTAACTATTTCATTTATACGTACGTCTCTATACATATATCTAAAACAATGTGTACGTTTTTAATGTACTTAATATCAGTTTCGGGCATTATGCCATTCACAGTTCTTTGATTTTCAACTGAATATTGGCACATTAATTACAAAAAAAAGAATTGAATTCAAGAAAATGGGGTATCACTTATGAAGGTTCTAGGCAATATGTTTATGGGGACTTTTGTACTTTTTCGTGCAAAATGTCAAACAGAAGACTAAATTTAACAACAATAATGATGGTTGCTTTTGCATTTACATTTCCACACTTTGTACAAGCCCTAGATATTTGAAAGTATAATTTTTGTCTAACATTTTTGCAAAATTAAACAAATGTTAGTGCCCAAAGAGAAACCAAATATAATGTTCAAAAATATAGTCTTCTGATATGATTAGACTAAAAAACTATTTAGGTCTTTTGTACAAATAAGAGATCGGAAGCAAATACATGTCCCACTTGAATTCCACATTTCTTGATGTGATAAAAAAAATTGCAATTTTTATCTCATAGACATTGTCATGTCCACCTAGCAAAAGGGACTTAATAGATCAAGATTGCTACTTGTTTTGCTCATGCAAGATTATAATTTCAAGATTCTTTATCTTTACAAAAAAATTCGGCTAGCTACTTGAAACTAGATTTTTTTTTTTTTATGGTTATAGGTCCTTGATCTTCAAAATATTAAACCTCATGAATTTGTTCAATACGGATTGGCATGCCTGGAAAACTTTGCATCTCTTGGAGACACTTGTGCCAAAGAAACTCGTGAAAGATTAAGGATTGTGGTACATATCATCCTCATCAACCTTTTTCCATAATCTCAACTTACATTCTATACAAATATATGCTCGTAATATCTTATAATCTGATAGGTTGCAGGAGGTGATGGGACAGTTGGTTGGGTTCTTGGGTGCCTCGGTGAGCTTCACAAACAGGATCGTGATCCGGTCCCACCAACAGCAATTATTCCTCTTGGCACAGGAAACGACTTGTCCAGGAGTTTTGGATGGGTAATGTTATCATGTTCTTAATGAACTAAATTCAAAAAAAAATAACCCTCTTTGATTTGTTAAAATGTTGTTCGACTTATTTACAGGGTGGTTCGTTTCCTTTCAAATGGAAAACAGCCATAAAGAGGACTCTTGACAGGGCCATTCAAGCTCCACTTGGTTGTCTTGATAGGTGAGTTGTAATAACTTATAAAGCCTTAAATATATATTGTCTATCGACTGGTTTTACCTAGTTTTTAACTGATAGTTGAGATGTTATTGGAGTAGTCTATAAGAGTATGTATACTGCTTTGAGTCATATATACGTAGTTTGATTAATGTACATTGCGTTTGATGTTGATGTCATTTCAGTTGGGAGCTTTTAATATCAATGCCGGCTGGTGAAGAATTGGATACCCCACATGCATTGAAAAAAACTGAAGTGGTGGCTCTTGATCAGGTTCGAAATCTAGCTAGTTGTGTGTGTGTATATGTATCCCTTACGTAAGAGTATAACTTTCATGGGTTTGTTTGCAGGATTTAGATATTGATGGGGAATTGCCTGAGAAAGTTTCTTGCTACCAAGGAGTCTTCTACAATTATTTTAGCATAGGTATGCTTTTTTTTTAAGCATCGGAAAAAATCCTTCAATATCATATAGAAACCTATTATTTTAGTATTTGGACTAAAAGATAACTAAAATGGTCAAGTATTATATGCATATTTTTCATGACTGTGATAGCACGGGATATGGTATCTTTGTAAAAATAGTTAAAAGTTAAAATTTCAATAGAGACTAGAGTGTAGAAATTTCAATTCCAATGTGAATAATTGGGTTCTTATAAGAACTACCTAATTACTCTAATACTACTATAGTTAGAGAATTCACAATGCATAATTCAATGGAAGAGTTAAATGAGGTGTCATATCTAATTGATATTCAATAGATTAAACTCTATCATTTTGAGATGCTATTTTGGCATTCAATGGATATAGAGTTCAATAGATATAGAGTTCAATGGTCATTAAACTCTTCAATAGGAAAAATGAAACATTTTAACTATTAAATAAGAATATTCTGTTGAACTCAATTCTATTGAGTTCAATGCATTATAGAAAAATGACAAAGTTACAAATTTAGTCCTTGTTGGTTTTCAAAAACCTTTGGATGGGGTCCAAAAAGTTTCCAACTTCCATCGAAGATCCAAAATCAAGGTTTTTCTGGGTTTTTCGTCTCTGATACACTTGAAAAGATGATTTTACTATTTTCATTTTATTTTTCTATTTTATTTACTTTGGTATTTAAATAATTAAAGAAAACTAAACTCTGTGTGTTTGTGTGTGATACCATCTCTTCCCCCTCTGGTTTGCATCTTACCATACAAATACTACCCCTCCTCCTTCTTCATTCACGTCCAAGAAAATCCACCGGAGGTGGAGCTGTTTTGCCAATCACCAAGACAACAACCCAAACACCCCCTCCTTTGTATCTCATGCCCTACTCCTACCCCCTGTCACCTTCCCATAGATGCCTCTCGTCATTCTTGTCAAGCAGAAACCCGGACACAACAGCAGGAGGCTGCCAAAGCAACCTATGCCACCTACGGCCGCCACTGCTTGTGGTCGTCATTACCCTCCTACTACCACAGTTTTTTACCACCACCAAACTCTCCCCTCCTCCCTCGTCTTCCCTGTCGTTTGCTGCCAGACTCAAAGGGAGCGAGGGATTGGAGTTGTTATCGCTAGCCACCCATCACCGACCACCACCTCGTTGCTGCCACTGTTGTGAACCATCACCACCTCCGAATGCTGCTTCCGTCGACCCTCTCTGTCCAACCACCACTCTAATTTGAAGGTGATTTCCATCCCCCTCTTATTTGCTTTGTCCGATCGAGACAAGAGACTCACTGTGAATCTCCATTTTTGTTTAAGCAAATCTCCATTTTTGTATAAGCAAACCTACAGGTCGATGTGGACTCAATCCTATTGATGAGATTGTTTCCAATCGATGTTGGTGCTTTGCGTTACAATGTGTGTCTGTGTATTTGGGTTTTAATTTCTTTCTATTGCTTGATTAATTTTTTGGCTTTTGTTCATCAATTTGGGAATATCAAAGATGAAGTCCATGAGAGAGAGAGAGAGAGAGAGCAGTGGGTGGGGTGGGGATACATTTTTTTCTTTTTTTTTCTTTATTTTTTTAATTAAAACAACATTAGAATAATTATAAAAAATACAAAATGAAAATAAAAGGGCATAATCGTCTTTTTAAGTTTTTTTGACTAAAAACCCAGAAAAACCTAGATTTTGGATTTTCCATGCAAGTTGGAAACTTTTTGGACCCCATCCAAAGGTTTTTGAAAACCACAAGGACCAAATTTGCAGTTTTGTCTAGAAAAATTAATATAGAGTTGTATGGTAAGTAAAATGATGATGTGTCAATCCATTAAACTCTAGTAATGTCATCTTCAATGGATTAAACTCATGGAGAGTTATATGGATTGCCAAGTAAGAAAGAGAAGATACACAATCAATTTAATTCTTAAAAAATTCATAAATTTTCATTATAAATCCATTGCACCGTTTCATGCCATTCAACTTTACACTCTCTCTCCTCTATATTATATTCACGTTTCTTCTATTAAACCCTTATGCAACTCTCATTGTGGATGACCTAAGTTTAATGCATTATGGATGCCCTTATATATAAAATACAAGCAAATAATTAAGTAACTAACTGGTGACGTGGTATTCTTGCCTAAAAATACTGATGTGGATCTTTTACATCTTACGTGATGCCTACAGGAATGGACGCCCAAGTGGCTTACGGTTTCCATAATCTACGGAATGAGAAACCATATCTTGCAAAAGGTCGTATTGCAAACAAGGTTGGAATTTAAGTTGTTTTTTTTTTATAAATTCCCATCGTTCATGAAGATATATATTTTCATTACACTCATATTTTTTTGATGAAACTTGAATGATGTAAATTAGAAGATCAAAACTTCAATATTTGAAAACTTGTATATATTAGATTTTGGGACTCTCTTTCTTGTGACAGATAATTTACTCCGGATATAGTGCCAAACAAGGATGGTTTTTCACGCCTTGTATGACTGACCCGAGCTTGAGGTAGTTTTGTATTAATTTCATCATCTTACTTGATAAAATTTAAACCTAAAACACTAAAATGTGGGAACAATGGGTGATTTAAACATTGTAAATTGTACTTTCTTTGTAAAAGAACAACTGGAAAATGCATATAATTGCTGACTTTGGCAGGGGACTAAAGAACATTTTAAGGATGCATATTAAGAGGTTAAACAGCCCAACATGGGAACTGATTCCACTTCCCTCTAGGTAAAGTTATTTCATGGAACCTCAAACGATCAATTATTTGAAGAAAAAAATGAACACCATGCACCACTTCCGATCTTTTTACTTATATATGACTTATGCATCAACATATTTGAGCAGTATTAGGTCCATAGTCGCTTTGAATCTTCATAGCTATGCAAGTGGAAGGAATCCATGGGGTAACTTGAAGCCCGAATATCTAGAAAAAGTAGCATCCGTTGATATTTCCCTAAATTCTAGCAACAGAAATAATGATGGAACCTCATTTAGTGTTGCATCTTTTTTAAATGCAGAAAGGTTTTGTGGAGGCTAATTCAGACGATGGTCTATTGGAAATCTTCGGATTTAAACAAGGATGGCATGCATCATTCGTTATGGTCGACTTAATATCAGCAAAACACATTGCACAGGTAAAAAAAACGTTATTCTAATCAAGAAACATTAGGGCGATGTTTTCTTTCATGGTTTCCACCTGCAACTTTTTGGTTAGGCAGCAGCAATTCGATTTGAGATAAGAGGTGGCATGTGGGAAGAAGGTTTCATGCAAATGGATGGCGAACCATGGAAACAACCCATGGACACTGATTATTCAACATTTGTAGACATAAAAAGGGTTCCATTTCAGTCTATCATGATTAAAGGGGAGAATACTCGTTCTTGAGGCTCCGTTTGTTTTGTAAAATAGGATAGGAAAAATTTATGTTGTATTACGTTCTAAAGTTTGAAACCTCCATGGGACAAAAACTGCATTTTTTGTTCTAATCAAATGGTTGGAATTAAGATATGATATGGACTTGTTTTTGATATGTAACGAAAGGATGGATGTCCTCCTCATCCTTATAAAAAAAAATGATAATGTTTGAGCTTTAATTAGTCTCAAACATAAATGACCATTAAATATGTCAAAGTTATTTCCCTAAAGATTGAAAGATGGTCATAGTAGCAAGCTCCTTTTCTTCTTTATCAAAACAAATATACTTTAATTTATAGTTTTTAAACATTAGAAATAAAGTTAATAAAAATTAGTATGTATAACTACAATTAAGTAAGCGCCATGACAGTTAAACCGGTGAAATTTTGTTTTAATTTAAACAATACAAAAAATAACATTTCTAGTTTTAATATTTTTATAAACTACTTAAAATCTAAAACATGGATACCAAAAGGTGTGAAAGTTTGGATTGAAGAAAAACATATCAGCAACAAAAGGCTTCAATATTTTGACTCTTATAGTCCACAATTATAGGATATTAATATGAATCTAAGCTATCAATTGCGCGCTATAGCGGTGCTATAGCGGCGCTATAGCGTTTTGCGGAGGTCAGGAACCGCTATTTTCAACTTAGCGTTTTCATTTCGCGGTACCGCTATTAGCGGCGCTATTCACCGCTATTTACGGCTATTTCAATAACCGCTATAGCGGTGTTATGGGCGCTATTCCATTTTCGTTCACATTTAGGGTCATTTTGTTACTTTGTCAATGAAAAACTAGTTTTAATGATCTCACTACACTTTCATTTTAAAATGCCCAAACAACTAACATAATTAAAAGCATTCAAAGCAACTACGTCTACCGACAACTCTCTTTCTCATCATCTTTTTCTGTACTCACGATGACTTGAGCTGCTATGGTCGGACTCCATTAATGCTTTTTGTAAATCGAACCACGCCTATGAGGCTACGACTTGGGACTTAACTCTTTATATCAACCATAGCCTACTAATACGATATTGAATACGGGCAATACAATTAATCTCTATTTGACACTTTGACACTACCTAGTTTCCTTATTACCATAATAGAATATTATGTTATGTTTTTATATGACTTTTTAGGTTTATGATATTAATTCTATATAAACTTATAGTATTAATACTCAAATATATATATAACTTCTATATAAATATAATATAAAATTATAAATTATCCGTACTATTAAAAAAACGCTATATCACCGCTATACCACCGCGATAACCTCGATCTCAAATAGCGGCATGTGACCGCGATTGAAATTTTGACCGTGATAACTGCATAAAATATTATACATATCATCATTTCAATTTTAATGGATAGCGGGATTGATAGGAAGAAAATATAGAAGGATTTTAAATTTCTCATAAATATATAATCTAGTATTGAATTAAGACCTAATTCCATATATGTGAGAGGTGCACAAAACCCGAATCCGATCCGATTCGTTTTCGCTTATGTCATAAAAAATCTGATCCGGTCAAAATATGATCCGATTCCAACCAAAATCCGAATCCGATTTGAAACCGGTTTAAACCAATTTTAGTGGGTTTTAATCGGATTTTTGCTTGGATTTAGGTCCGGTTTTTTGCGAATCCGGTTTACGATCCAATATCAAATCCGATTTGCAATACAGGATTATGATCCGATTGAAAATCTGGTTTTAAATCCGATCTGATCCGGTTTGGTCAAACCTGGTTTTGACCCAACCGGATTCGGATTGGATCCGGTTTTGAATAGTGAAACCAGTTTTTGTATGCATCTCTATGACCATAGGAAGACTTGAACCATTGACTTCAAAGAGAAGGTCAACATACGGTTGGAATAGAAATCTTTTGGTAATTTCTTTGGTCATATTTGAATATTAAATTGTCAACGTATAGCTTAATTGATAATGGTAAAGTTTTTCTTTATCTATCTATTTACAACATACATTAATTGTAAATTTATTACTATATCTAACATAAATTGACTCTTACCATATTTAATAGATGTACGCATATGAGTATTCAGTTAATAAGTTCGGCTGATAATCAATGTCCATGAGCAGTGGCGAATCTAGAACCAAAATCAACGTGGTTCCTTATATAAATGGAATGGAAAAAAGTATGAAAATGTAGGTCTTTTGTCAAAAATAAAGTAGTTTCTTATGTTTTTTATATAAAATCTTAAATATTACTAAAAGAGAAACTTTATGACATCATCTTAAATAATCTGGACCATAGATTGTATTTCAATCTTATTTTTTCTACCCTTAGATCAAATTGTTGACATCATCTTCCTCATATGGAATGTATTTAATTCCAATAAATGTTTTCCAATCATCAATCAATAACTTATATTCGGTGAAATGGAATGTATTTAATTCCAATAAAAGTTTTCCATATTTTACATTTTGAATTTTCAGTTATAAAGATTTTAATATGATCAATTTTAAAAATATATTACTAATAAATCATTTCAATCAAGGCCTTAATATCAACCATTAATATAAATCCGTTTATATTAATAAACTAGTAATATAAAATCTTTTTTTATTAGAAAATCATTAATACCGAAAAATCATATTCGAATTATCACACACATATACGATTCACCATTGAATCTGCGAGTCACATTTATTTTCATTCGTTTCTGTTCTTCAAACCTTCTCCTACAACATCGTTAATATTGCTTATAACTTCCATCATCATTCTCTGCTATCAACATTCGCTCTTGTGCGCTAGAAGGTGAGTACCTTCTTTCGCTTTTTATATTTTTTTCGATCATTATTTGTTCCTATATCAAATGTATGTATTCATATATTTCTATTTTCTTTGTCACAAATTACATGAAATTAGTTAACTATGTTTCTAAAACTTTTCAAATAAACATTAAAAGGTATTAGGTACCTTTAACAACACAAAAATTAACTATCTTGGGAACTGACATTAGTTACGAAAGGGAAGTGATATTTCCACTTAATAATTTGATTCATCCACATAAGCTACAATACTTTTACAACTATCGTACAAGTTGGTAAAACATACATTTCAAGTGGATTAATCAACTTATCAAGTGGAAATATCATTTTCCATTACGAAAATGTTACTTTTATAAATTAGAGATGATTATGATTTTTTTTTAATTTTTATGTAATAAGAATCCGGTTAATTTTGACATGATTTTAAAATATCATTGAAATTATTATGTAAGTTCTTGTAAGCTTTTCCATTTTTTCAGTTTCCTTGATGGGTAGGAAATGCGCGGATTTGGTCAATCTGTCGACGATGACCCATATGGTATCGATTCCACCCGTCTTCTTGGGTAACTTGGTTATGAAGTTCATAGTGATCCGTTCCCATTCCATTTTGGTATCTCTGGTTGTTGTAGTAATCCTGACGGTTTTTGATACTCGACCTTAACCTTAGCGCAAGTAAGGCATTTACTTACGAAGGTAGCAATTTCTGCTTTCATGTTAGACCACCAATACAATTTCTTAAGATCCAGATACATCTTATCCCGGGTGAACGGAATACCTCGTGTTGTGTGCTTCAGTCATTACTACGTCTCTGAACCCGCCATGCTTCGGCGTCCAGATTCGGTCCATAAGATAATATGCTCTGCCACCCTTGACTTCTAGATTCTTTTCCATTCCTTGAAGGGATTCACCCGACACATTTTCAGGTCGCAAAGCTTCCACTTGTGCCTCCTTAATTTGTGTGGATAAGTGGGAATGGATAATCATAGTCAGAGATTTGACCCTCCGACCAGTGTATTCCTTTCGACTGAGGGCGTCAGCTACCACGTTGGCCTTGCCAGGATGATAACGAATTTTGCATTCGTACTCATTTAGTAACTCAACCCATCGTCTTTGTCGCATATTGAGTTCCTTTTGATCGAAAATGTGTTGAAGGCTCTTGTGATCGGTGAAAATAGTACTCTTTGTTCCGTATAAGTAGTGTCTCCAGATCTTCAGAGCAAATACCATTGCTCCTAACTCTAGATCGTGTGTCGTATAGTTCACTTCTTGTGTCTTAATCTGTCAGGAGGCATAAGCAATAACTTTCCCTCTCTGCATAAGAACACAACCAAGTCCTTGATTTGACGCATCGCAATACACTGCGAAGTCTTCTATCCCTTCGGGGAGGGATAGTATCGGTGCGGTGCACAAGGCCTGTTTTAGTGTTTGGAACGCCTTTTCTTGTTTCGCTTTCCAGTTAAAGGCCATGCCTTTTTGGGTTAATGCAGTAAGAGGTTTCGCAATGCTAGAGAAGTTCTTTATGAATCTGCGATAGTAGCCAGCGAGACCTAGAAATTGATGAATTTCTGTAGGTGTCTTTGGTGCCGACCAATTCTCGATGGCCTTGATTTTGAAGGGGTCCACGTGTATCCCTTTCTCGCTAACAACGTGGCCCAAAAATTCGACTCTTCGAATCCAAAATTCGCATTTAGAGAACTTCTCATAGAGTTTCTCCGATCGCAGTGTTTCTAAGACTCTTCGTAGGTGCTGACTATGCTCTTCCTTACTTCGGGAGTAGATAAGTATATCATCGATAAAGACGATGACGAACTGATCTAAGTAGGGACGGCATACCCTATTCATTAGGCCCATAAATACTGCTGGTGCGTTGGTTAATCCAAATGGCATTACTACAAATTCGTAGTGCCCATAATTAGTTCGGAAAGCTATCTTGGGAATATCCCCCTCAAGTACCCGTAATTGGTGATATCCGGATCGTAGATCTATCTTCGAGAAGTAGTTTGCTCCTTGAAGTTGACCGAATAGGTCGTCAATACAGGGTAGAGGGTAATGGTTCTTGACAGTAAGTTTGTTCAGTTCTCTGTAGTCGATGCACATACGGAACAATCCGTCTTTCTTCTTTACGAACAAGACCGGTGCTCCCCAAGGTGAGAAACTTGGTCTTATGA